CTATCCGCTCTCTCTTCGTCTCGCTGTCGAAGAGGGTCAATTATCATTTATTGGCAAGAGTTTTACCGTTGAACTTGCTAATGGCCTAGAGAATAAACTTCTTAAGGATTGTACTCCCTGGGAATTGCTTAACCTAAAACCGACCACTGTATTAGATATTCCTGAGCGACTTTTTCAAAAGTATGGAATAACATCTCAGTTTTTACAAGCTTCTCTTAACGACTATACAATTCAAACTGTAGGCAAGGATTATTTAGAACAAAAATTTGGTATTACAAAACCATCCTTATATTTTGCAAGTAGCACACATCATTATTCGTGGCCTAAAGGTTGTGGTGAGTATCCCATTTCCTTTTGAAAAGTGTATAAACTTTATACTTTAGTAAAAATAGTTGGAATGTCAATAATAAGTAAACATTACTTATAGTTACAAAGTGTCAAAATACCCGCCAATTTAATAATTTACCATCATTAAGTTTTATTTAGTAAAAAATGAAAAAGAATACTTTTCACTAGAGGTCGGAACCGGTTCCGACCTCTATTTTTCATATAAGCTAACCGCTATAGAATAATCATAATAACTTCCGACAATTTTTACAATAAATATACTATTCGTTATATCTTTGACTTCTAAACTAACTTTGCTAAATTATATTATTTTATTTTAAGCAATTGTTGGGATTGGTTCCGGAAATTTGAAAAGTATACCAGTAGACGATGCTGCACGAATGGATATTAAAGAGCTTGATAAAAAACTTGCAAAATGTGTTAAAAATCAACAAGCTGTTTATGCTGTAGTTGCGATCATGGGATCAACCGAACAAGGCGCTTGTGATCCTTTGACCGATATCGTGGCCCTCCGAGATCGATATCAACGCAGATACGGACTTAGTTTTGCCATTCATGCAGATGGTGCATGGGGTGGATATTTTCGTACAATGCTTGTAGAACCACCCAATAATTCTCCTAGTTTAGATAGTCGTAGCAACGAACGTGATACATTAGTTCCAATGTTATCGTTGAATCCTTATACACAAAAACATTTGTACAGCCTTAAAGATTGTGACTCCATTACTATTGATCCACACAAAAGTGGGTACATCCCATTTCCTGCCGGTGGTTTATGTTATCGAGATCAGCGAATGAGATATTTGGTCACATGGACAAGTCCAGTTGTAACTCGTCCTAAAGAAGAAAGTATTGGAATTTATGGCGTGGAAGGAAGGTAAGTCTTGAGAAGGGTCAATATGTATAAATGTAATAGTGTATATTTTAATGATTATGCTTTTTATTTTTAAGCAAACCTGGTGCTGCTCCAGTATCTGCTTGGCTTTCCCATGATGTTATTGGTCTTCATCAAAAAGGTTATGGTGCATTATTAGGACAAGCAACTTTTACGTGCAGCAAGGTATAAATATTATTATATACAGAGTAACCACATCTTTCTATTGCATAAAATAAATATATCTTATTATTTAACTTAGATGTATTGTCATTGGGCTACAATGTCAACTGATAAAGATAACTTTATTGTTGTTCCGTTTAACATGTTACCTGCTGAAAAACTCAATCCACAAAATCTAAAAGAAATAAAAGAACAAAAGAAAAAGATAAGAGAACT